CCAGGGTCCTGTGTCCTGGGTCTTCAGCTGAGACAGTGCCTGGGACTGCACAGCCCGACTGGGGCAGGACACCAGACCAGCTCTGGGAGGACCCAGAAAGCTCAGGTCAAAACAGGAGACACTGTGGGAGAGGCCGTGGCTGCAACAGAGAGCACAGCTCTGCAGGCAGTTAGAACGTGACCCTGAATGTGTGCTCCCGACTTGGGCAGAAGGGGCAGATCCACAGGCCAGTCTGGAAATCACACAGGACCTGCACCTGCAGTCCACTCTCTGCAGAGGCACTACCTTGTGCAGAGAGGGACTGAGGGGACCCTAGAGTTGGCAAAACGGATCTCCTGAGACATGCAGCAGCATCACTTCTCCTACCCTATCAAGGCTTGCAGAGCAGGATGTGTGGGGTCTGTGGAAGTGAGGCTGGCCTCTCACTGGCCACTCCCTGCAAGGATTGGATACATGTGGATTCCAAATGAGGTAGAACAATTGTGTCCCACTGAGTCCAAATCTTTATCCTCAGAATCTCTGAATATGCTAAGTTATGAAAAAAAAGAGGAAAGCTTTAAATAGGATTATCTGGATAGTCCCAGAGTCATCACAAGGACCCTTAAACATGGAAGAAAGAGTTGGGCATGGTGGTGCACACCCCCAATCCCAGCAGCTCAGGAGACTGAAACAGGAGGATCCGAAGATCAAAGCCAGCCTCAGCAACCTGGCATGGTCCTAAGCAAATTAGTGAGACCTTGTCTCAAAAATATGAAGCAATAAAAAAGTGCGGGGAATGTTGCTCAGTTGTTAAGCACCCCAGGATTTAATTCCTGGTGCCAAAAACACAAAACAAAACAAAAACAAGAGGAAGGAAAGGAGTAGGTATGAGGGATGCAAGTGAGACTCCCCCTCCCTTTCTAGTTTAGGCAGAGGAGGGGACCACAAGTCCAGGGAGGCTGGCAGCTCTGGAGAGTAGGAAAGGCAGGAAAGGATTCCCTCTAGATCCTGCAGAACAAAACGCAGCCCTGCCCACACTTGGATTTTTGCCCAGTGACAACCATGTCTGACCTGTCCTGCAGCATATTGTGGATACACATATGTGTTGTTTTAAACCACGATTATGCATTATTAAAAGAGCAAAGGAAAACTAATGTACAAAGTCAGTAAGTTTAGTCTTACAAAGAGGAGGCAATGTTACTGCAAAAATGGCCAAATTCCCATTTTGTCTCCCAAAACACAGATGTGATTTTTCTCCCTGGTACAAAACCTCAGCTCTACTGTTTGTGATGAATATCTGATGTGCTGGTGCCTGAAGAGAATCCTGCAGCATGTGGTCTCAGAGCCTCCTAGACTCAAGGAAGGAGGACTGCCCTGGGACTAGGTGAGGGTGTCACTTACCATAAACAGTGAGGTGGAAAACTGCTTTAATTTCTCTTCCTGTCTGAAATCTGGCCTGGGCCCAGTAGTGCCCACTGTCCTGTGAGGTCAAATTGTTAATCCTCAGGGATGACATACTGGGCACCTGGACCCTCTGCTTGTACTTGTCCTGGAGACTGAACCACTGTAGATCTTCCATCCCATTCTGGAGTCTCAGCATGTATATGCAGTCTGGATCAGATCCCAGGCCCCAGTAGATATCTACCGTGGGATCCTCTAGCTCCTGGATGACTTGCAACAAGACTGAACCTCCCTGGATCACCTTCAGATAATTGCAGATTCTAAAACCTTTAATCCCAGAACCATGAGCTCCAGAACTCTTGGCTAAAGTGCTACAGGCACCTAGAACATTGAGAAAGAGAACATGGATATTTCCTCAAGGAGAACAAGTGAAACAGACATTTTCTTCTTAACCGATCCATTTGACCCCTTTCCTTGATCTAGAGAGGAAGCCTTGTCCAGTGAATTGGACCGATTTCTCAGATCAAGTCTGGTTCTGCTGAAGTGTAACCTTGGGCTGGTGACTTAGCTAGACTGCAGTTTCCTTACCTGACTTGAAGTCAGGGTATGAATTACAGGAGACCAGCGATTGACAGCTCCCAGCACATCGTCTGGCATGTGCTAGATGAGAGCCATGCTAACAGATGGGAGGGGTACCTCATGTGTCTTCAATTCTCATTTCCTGGATGATTAGAGATGCTGAGGATTTTTTTATAGCTCTGTTGCTATTCATTTCTCTCTTTGAGCAATACTTTTTCAAATCTTTTCCCTATTTTCAAATCAAGTTACCTGTTTCTTTGCTATCAAGTTATAAGTTCTTTATCCATTAGGGCTATTGGCCCCATATCAGATGTGTGCTTTGCAATATTCTCTCCCAAGACATGGGCTGTCTCTTTACTCTGTTGTTTCCTTTGCTGTGCAGAAGGTTTTTAATTTGATGCAATTCTGTCAGTTTTTGCTTTTTGTGTCTGTGGCTTGGGAATCCTATCAAGAAATTACCACCCAAGCTCATGGAACTTCTATGTTTTCTTCTAGAGGCTTTACAGTTCCAGATCTTATGATTTAGTCTTTCTACCATTTTCAGTTGATTTTTGCATATGAGGTGAGTTAGAATCAAATTTCCTTCCTCTGCATGTAGCTCTCCCATCTTCCTATATGCATTTACTGAAGAGCCTGTCCTTTCTTCGTTGTATATTCTTAGCACATTTGTCAAACATCACATCAACTGACTGTAAATACCTGGTTTATTTATGGCATTTCTTCTTTTTTCATTGGTTAATGTGTCTGTTTTTGTGCCAGTTCCCTGCTGTTTTAATCACAATAACATTGTATTTTGAAATCAGGTTGTGAGACACATCCAGTTTTGTTCTTTTTTTCATTTGTTATTTGAGGCTCTTTATGATTTGAAACAAACTTTAGGAGTTTTTTTTTTTTTTTTGTATTTCTGTGAAAAATCATTGGAGTTGTGATAAATTTCATTATGTCTATTACAGTTTGTTTTATCCAAGAGCCAAAATGTTATTTCATGGGTCAAACTTATCAAAAAAAATTTTTTTAGTATGTATTGGTTTCATATCTTGCTTAAAAGGAGAGTCCTCCCTTCAAAAGTATGTTTCTCATTATTTTCTAGTGGTTTTTACATTTATGTTTAGGTTTTGATCAACCAAAATTTAGTTTGATGTTAGGTAGGTTCCACAGCTGGACCTTGAGTGAGTCGCTGTCTCCCTCTGGATTCAGATTAGGAATCCCTAAATGAGAAATGCCAAGTCTTTCCCTCCCCGCCCCCTCCTTCCCTCCCTCTTCCTTGCTTTCCTTCTCATCTTTCTTCCTCCCTTTTCTTTTTTCTTTCCCTGTGTAATTTCCAACCCCAGAGCCTACTGAAGAAAACACTAGACCATTTAACATACTTATTTACACAGCATTGTGAAATGGGGAAAGTCTACACTTTGCTGTTCGCAAAATGTTGTGCATTTAAAAAAAAAGTTGTCCTTTCATAAGTACCACACACTAATTTATGTGCCACTGGAGCACCAAACAGTTGCTCATTTAAATGGGGCCTAACCCCTTACAGTTGCAAAGCTCATTGTTCACTGAATGTGTCCTAATCCACAAGTGCTCTCTAATCCATTCAATTTCATGTAATTCCTTGCAAGTTCATTTAGTAGCTGTTGTTTTTTTTTTTACTACAACAGTAAAAGCTTTCACCAACTTATCCAATACAACTGAAATCAGCATATTATAGCAGTACATGGATTTCAATGTCTAAAGATAGTACACTTCAATTAGCCAAGGTAGGAAACCAGCCAAGGTGTCCATCAACAGACCAACAAATTTAAAAAGTGTGACAAACACATGGTTTTACTCAGCCATTTTGGGAGACCAACCTTGCATGTGACTGAGTCACACATCCTGGCTGGGTGCTGGGGCACTCAGTGGCAGAAATTTGGCAGAGCTTTCCCCACCCTTCTTGGGTTCCAGGGACAGTGTCTTGTGCATAGGTGTGTCTTGCTACAGCCCCATGGGTGAAGCTAGGCTCACCTGTTCCTTTGTAATATAACCTCTTGCCCTGTTTAGGATAGAATCTTCCATGGAAATGCCTTGTGTGTGTCCCCTTCTTTTACTGTGCCCTTGGGTGTGGCCTACCCAGGTGTCAGTCAACCTGCTGACAGTGGACATCATGAAGATAGACTCAGCCCCCTGAAACCTGACCCCTTGCCTCATTTGAATAGCTTCTCCTCAATAAAAGGATAAAAATAAATAATAAAAATAAAAAATAAAAAGGCTCTCACTCTCTCTCTTCCTGGGGACCTGTAGTCAGAGAAGCTGTCACAGTGACCCCAAAGAAAAAGGTACTTGTGTCTCTTGTGTGGTTATTTCATGCAGCCCACTTAGCCCAGTTTAACTAGAGTGACTCCTGGGCCTTTTAGTCAGGAGAACAGAAACTGGGCAATTTGCGTCCAACGTGGGCCGAAAGGTCTGAGTCTTTAAGCTGCCAGGACAAAAGAGACAAATGCTGGCTCTTAAGGGAACTCCAATTTAAATGTTAAGTCTAGTGAGTTTAGTAGTTCTTTCCAGAAGTTAAGCATACTTAGGATTGCAGAGTATTGTGGGTGCAATTGTAGAAAGTAAGTGAATTAGACAGAAGAGAAATCTGTGATGTTAAAATTATTAATATTGAGGTATAATTGTAGAGACTCTAAATAAATATAGTTATTAAGATGATTGATGGGCTGTGTTGTTGAGTTGAGTCCTCTCCATGGAAAGAGTGCTTTTGTGGATTTTTTAAAATTGTTTTTGTAAATCTTTATAAACATTTTTTTTGAGGGGGCTGGGATTGTGGCTCAGTGGTAGAATGCTTGCCTAGCATGGTCGGAACCTGGGTTCAATCCTCAGCACCACTTAAAAATAAAGGCATTGTGTTATGTCCATCTACACCTAAAAAATAAATATTAAAAAATGCTTAAAAAAGATTTTTTGGCCTTTATGTTCTAGAAGTTTGCACTAGGAGAGTGAGAAAAGGGGAGAGAAAATGTTGTGATGTTCACCTGGAGAGAAATAAGTTTCAATTTTCTATTGTTTTTGTCAATACTCAGAAAGTTTATACTGACCTCTTTGCTACATGATTGTCCTATGAATCTGAATGGCTATGACTTTAGTTGCTGGGCTATGGAGTCCTAGCCCCTGCAGCCAGCAGTGCTTTGAACCCTTAAATGACTTGACCTGAATGCCGAACACAGACTAACTTAATATCTGATGGTAATGCTGGCATCTGCTGCTAAAAAACTTTTGGAGCACCCATGTGCCACAGAAAGAAGTGCAGGGTGCAGGAGTATACAGATCACAGAGACAAAGCAAGCCACTACCACCATAGGGTCTTGGCCTGGTTGGGGGGGGGGCAGGAAATAGAAACAAAACAAAATAAAATGCAATCTGCTAGGAAAACTTGGGGAACTTTTGCCCTGACAATGGGCAGTAGACTCCATGTTGTTTGCATAACTATGGTAACCACCTGTGCCTGTCCAAAGGAGCAGGCTTCCTGGTCCCACCTCCCACAATCTCCTGGGCTTCCGATTGGTTCTTCCACAGTCACTCAGACAGGATTAGAAGTCCCACCTTCCAGCCACTAACCTGCACTTCCTGTTTCAGATTGCAACTGGAGCTGCTCAGAGCCTGTATTTTTAAGAATGCCCACCTGTAAATGCTAACAAAAGATATCTTTTTCAAATAAAATTTAATTCCAGAGGGTTTCTATGTTGCAGCCCTAAATTTAAGTTAGTTCTGAGTTACATAACCTGACTTTTCTTATAGTCATGTTACTAAATAATGTTCTATGGATGAGAGATATCAAACATGCTTCTTTGTATTTTACTTTTAATTCTGGAGGTTACCGGGATGCATTTGCTCGCCACAGGAACAAAGCTGGCAATGTACCTGTGATGAACAAAAAAATTCTTATTCTCTTTCCTAACTATAAAAAATAAATATATATACTCAAGGATCTTATTTCAGTTACATCAAGTGATGTTACATAAAAGAGTGCACTCCTAGGTAAAAATAAATTGAAATGGATCTAAATATTTTAAAAACTATATGGTTACATAAAGTTAATACAATTATAAGTTATGTCCTTATTCTTAATATATATTTTTCTAGGTATTCAGATAACCTTATTTGTTAATCTATAAAATAATTAGCACATATCTAATTGTTTGGTTAATATAGATTTGCCTAATTGTTTTTTCTTCAACAGAAAACCCATAAGTTATATGTTTTATACGTACATTTATCAGGTATTCTGCATTTTAGAACAGATATTTAAGATAAATGTATTTACTATAAATTTGCTTTTAAGTGAAAATACAATCTTCAAATAGTTTATATTTCTCAAAGTTATTGTACAAACTCATAAAATGATAAACAAATATAACTCTGTCTACAAAATATCTAAGGACTTTAACTATATTTTCATTGATATTTCTTATCAAAGAACAACAATTTGTTTATAAATTCTAAAGTTTTCAAAAATTGTTCCAAAATATAACTAGAAAAAATTCTAAAAGAAAAAGATGCTTCAACAAAGAAAAATCTCACTTTGGATCCTAAAAAGAACAAAGAAATCATCTTTGGGTAAAAAGAGGTCTTTATATTCTAGATTTTTGATAAAATTATTTTTCTAAATAAAAAAGACTTTTATATTATTATCTAAACAGATGATGTAAAAAGTTAAAACAATAATAAAAGAGGTTTATATATACTGGACTCACTATAAAAATTTTAACTGATTAATTCAAGGATATTTCAGACTATTTCTCTAATTTGACTATATTGATGTGAGCTAAGAT